TCTACCTCATGGGATGCTTGTGAGCATTAAATGAATTAGAGTGTACATTAGGATAGTGCAACATGTGTATAAGCTCAGAGAAAACACTAACTATTAATTCTGTTATATTTTAGCTTGGTGTTATGCTAACTTACTCTTTCTGACATGTTAATTGTTATAATGTTATAAAATGTTCTGAAATAATATTTTCAATTCTTGAGGAAGAGGGCAATTAAGAATCTTGCGCTGTGTCATCTGAAAAGAAACAAACGCTCTTGGAGAAAACACGCCTGCTTTCTTGTTCCTTTCACCTACAGCTAGCCACGACACAGCTCTTCAACATGTTGTTTTGTACTCGAAATGACTCAAGGGTTCTACTAAAACTCATGAGGAATGAAAGATAGAGTAATGTGAATATAGAATTAGTAAATGCAATGTGCATGGTTTGTTATTGTTTTGCATTTATTTTATAGAACATGGAACTCAACACTGACACTTCCTAGCAGTTTTTCGATGACAACCCAGTGAGCCTGGACCATCAATTACCTTGTTCAAATGGAAGATGGATGAACTATTTTGCTTTTCAGACCCCAAAGCAATGCAGATTTGGCAAGGAGTAGGAGTCACCATTGAAACAAATCCATTTTTCAGGGGTGACATATTTTGTATTTATTCCAATTTGTAAATGTCTTCCAGTTTGGAGGAAAATGTAAGGAAATTCCCTGGAAGATGTTTTGAAATTTAATTAAAAGGCAGTTTGAAAACATACCTCTCGCGCTTTGCACTTGTAAATATGAGCATATCAGGAACTTGCACAGAGATGTGAATGTTCTCATCCTGGAGTTGGGGAGCTCTGGTTGGGAACTGTGTATATTAATCTCCTGACAAAATAGCAGTGTGCCGCTTTTGCACAACTGGGCCCTGTGGGTAACTTCTGTGCAGTGTATTCATAGGAAGAAAACCTGATATTTTAAATTCTCCTCCCTTCCTCTGGGAGGTTGCCGTATACCCAACACAAACCCTTGCTTCTTGTACTTACAGAGCTGGAAAAATTCCCATTAAACCTGAGGCTGAAAAACAAAGGGCACTCTGGTGAACAGTTTAGATAACTTGGAGCCGTTATTCTCCAAGCTTCTTGTTATTGGAATGAGAGAATGGTGTGGCATGCAAGCCTGAAAGACTCAACACCTCTGGCAGACTTTTCACTTAACTCTGCTCTTCAGTTGATTCATCAGAAACTGAAAGGACTTTTACATTCCTTCCAACAAGTATTTATTGAGCACCTGCTATGACCTCATGCTGTTATCTAGTGCTGGATGGTACATATTAAATAAATCAAGGTTCCTGCCCTTAAGAAGTTCACAAAATAATTAGGGAAGTAACATTGGCAACTTGGAAGAAGTAGTACTCCTCTTAAGGAGTTAACCCCAGAACACATGATAATGTAATTCATTGAAGTAACACCTTTAGCCTTCGGAATCTTGGTAGCTACCAGTGTTTAATACCTGCTCTGCAATGTTTGATATGGTCCTTAAGAGTAACTTAACCATAGGGCAGTGTTTTGTTAACTGTATAATAGAATCTTTGATAAGAGTCTTTTCTTAACACCTTCTGGGTTATTAAATAGAGTGAAGTACTTGGAGTGTCTTTGACCCTTTATTTAAAGAAGGAATAATGATTCTGCTGGGAATACTTAGAACTCTCGATAAAAGTATACCCTGTTAAAAAATAGAGTACACCCTACTTATAGAAGATGAATCCTCTGAGCTTCAACATATTGTTTCTGTCCACAGCTGGTTCTATTTTTCCAAGAATTTTGTTGCTGAAAGGAAAAAGAGCAGTTAAACTGCATGATGCTCTAGAATTAAACTTTAGATTATCCTAACGTTCATACCTGTAATCATGTATTTCAGAATTTCTTAGGAAACTCTTTGACTATATTGTTTAAGCACTTATGGACATCTATTTAACTGTATTTCAGTATTTATTGAATTGACTATAAGATAAAATTGAATACTTGACTTCATTCTCCTTGTTGGGTTCCTTAGGTAGTGTACTAGAAAGAGATTTTTGATTTTATAAAGACTGATCCACTTTGTCCTTGTATGGTAGATATAGAAGGGTTAAGAGCTGCTTTGCTCAACTGGTATTTAGAATAGGTAATGGAAAGTTAAAACTGAGTTCCTTACCATCAAGGTATATGATTGTGCTTCCTGCCAAGAAAAGCTTCAGTTTCTCTATATTCCTCAGATGCTGCCTGCATTCCAAACTAATTTTTATAACAAGGAAGGGAAATGCCAATATTGACTTTAAATATTTTTAGGACCAATAGCATCAACACTGATCGTGGTTCATATTTTCATGTAACCCTGAGTATGTTAGCTGCATTATAAGCATAGTGTTTTAAGTTACACCTGTTTTACAACAATGGCTAAGAAAACGCAGAAAAAAAGGAATGAGGCTTTCCCATTTAAGTATCACTGCTTGTCTTTTGGAGTTGGACTCCACTATATTTGTAAATATACATTAGATTTCTAATGAAATACCCAACTTCTGTCTAAATAAAATTTGAGGAAGGTAACAGTAAGTCAGCAGGTTAGATTTTATTTTCTTAATTCCAGGATACTTAGTCCAACTTGTCTTTATGCTTCATAAACATTACTTAAGTGAAGGATGAAGCATGTTCACTTAGACTGTAATTTGTTGGGAGTTTATTTACATTTAAAGACTTATTATATTAAATCAGGTATTTCTGTTTTTCTTTCATAGAAATGACAATGACAATTTTTCCCAAAGCATTTTTGCTTCCTTTCTCTTTTCATTCCATCCTTTATCCTATGAGTTTACTCCTTACTATTGCTAGAGACCTAGGGTATGATTAAAGGCAATGATTGTATTAATAATGCCTTGGTGAGAATTGATAACCGAATTTGCATGTTCCTTCTCCCCCTTTTCTTTTCAGGAGTGGACTATTTGTGGAGAAAACCTTAGAGAATGACCTGAATCTGTTGCTTTTTGCTTTAATGTCCAAATATTTACCAAGCTAGTGTTTTAAAAACATATTTTTAAGCATATGTTTAACAACATGTTTTTTCATGCGAACAATTTATAAGGATTTGGTGCAATATTAAGATTTAGAGTTTCAGATGGAGTTTTGCAACATATGGTTGTATCTGTTTTTAAGGCACTCCAGAGTAGTTACTTTATATGGGTTTGGTGTATTGGCCTTAAGCTTTTGAAATCATTTGAACCTTAGTTCTCGAACTTAATTCATTATGGAAAACAATTTAAGATTTGGTTTGAAAACCAAATCTACTTCGTTGCCTGAGAGACGTGTGGCTGATTTTACAGGTATCAGCGTGAAAGTGTTGTTGGGTAGAGAATTGAGACCAAAAGTTTTGTTACACAATTGAGACATTTTTTTTTTCCATGAACAACTTGGTCGAGAACCGAATTGTTCAAGAACCAAGATGTTTGAGAATCTACGTTTGACTGTATTCCTTAGGTGTAAAAACCATCTGTAACAAATTTGTAAGTAAAGCTAAGCACAAATTCTCATATTCCTTACTAACATAGGTCCAAAGTTCTCACCAAAAATTAGTAAGATGGGTCCTGTTTTTAAGGCTATGGGACTCAAGTGAAGATATGAGTAGGTTCAATGATACAACATTCCTTTCTGAAACATTATCATTCTCACATCCAGCTCAGACTAGTCTTTCCTTATTATTTTTCCTTTTTAAAATGTTCATAGGTTTTTGTATCATTTCATAGCTTCTTGCCTACATTGTTTACTTATTTCATGCATATGCATGTATAACCGGCCCACTGGAATGAGTCTTGAGGGCAGTTACAGCATTTTAGCTCCTGTACCTCCCCCAAACACCGTACAAATATCTAACAGGATATTGGGCACAAACAGAATGCTTCCTGAATGTATGCTTGCTTGATTCAGAGGCTCTTTGTTTTCCAGAGTTGTGTTTTTCTGATGTGTCCTAAGCTGTAGAGGGTTAAATAAAAAAATCCTGTACACAGTTTTCATCTGAACATAGAGGCAGGGAGAAGTAGGATGATACTCAAAATGGAGAAGGGATTGCACGTGCTGTTACACCTGCGCTGTTTGCAACCATTGACCCTGGATCTGTGGTACCACAGGAAAGCATCTTCACCTGTGAAGGCTTTGTGAGTGGTCACATGTCTCCCAAACATGGATCTCTCTCCTTTCTCTGTAGGAAACATTAATAATTCCCAAGTAGCTCTTTTATGCTTGTTATTGTTGCAAATAAGAGCAAGCTCTCACAAATGAAACTGAACGTTGGTTAAAATTACCACTGTCCTTCAAGTTCCTGATCTGGTTCTCTCCCCGCCCCGCTTTGTTTCCCAGCTCTGGCTGACTCTCTGGATTAAGTGTCATTAATCTTTTCTCCTGACTTCTCTCTGTTTTTTTTTCTGCCCTCTCCCGTCTTCACTTCAAATTGGACATACTTCATAAAATGACGTCTAGGTAGTTCAGCCATTCTATTGAATTGAACTTAAATTTTGGATGAAATACATTTTAAGTGATTTTAAACTTAAAGCTAATGTGAAAATGTTGGAATATGTACCAATATAAACATATTAAACTTAAGGCCATATCAAATACAGTGTAAAAATTACAATGTGTTCCTTCTGTTAGAAATCTTAAAGGATATAATTCACTTCTGAGTCATGATGTAATTTAGATTATATTTTATTAGACATTCTTTACAAATTTAAAATACTGCTATTTTTACATGCACAGAGGATAATTATATTTAGGCATTCATGAAAATCAACCACAAAATAGAGACACTTTATTGTGTCATTTATCAACATACTTGATATGTATATCTAAAGTGCATTATGTTACAAAAAATATAGAAATTCAGCAGCACCAAGATACATTTACAAAATAAATACATCAGTTGACAAAATAAATTATGGTAAATGTGACAATAATAACTGGATTAGCCTTGGAAAAAATATTCACAATGACCAATGTGCAGTTTCATAGAGCAATGAGGGAGACAGTTTTATTCCAATGCATTTACAGTATTTACAGACAATAAATATTTCTAATACTTTCCATATGTTCACTATTACAGAATTCTGCAATATGTCTTCTGAAGTTCTTTGCAAAAATTTCAATGCCTCCTGAAAAGAGAAAGAAGGGAAAGAAGAAAATAGGTTAATTATCCTTACAAATAAAGAGACATAAAATAAAGGATATACGTTAAGGAACACAGAATTATATAGAAAGAGATATGGGGGACTTTTTGTAAATATCTCTTACAGGAGGTGACTGTGGGATCCACCTGACTGTCTAGAACCTCTGCTACTGTCTTCAATCCAATCTAATGGTCAACGTAGCGCCGAAAGAGAAAGGCTTGTGTTTCTAAGTCTACTCTGTCAGAAAGAGGAGACCCTGTGAGATTTTCCAATGCCACCAATTGGCAAGTTTGGGAAGAGAAGGCACACATTTGAGAATCTGGAAATAAGGCTAGGTTGTACAATCCATCATAACATACACCCTGCTTAGAAGGTTATTCGCCAGTGATGCCTGATGTCAGTGATCCACTGGTGTCTTGTTTTTCCATGTTCTTGTTTGGCCAATCACTTCCTAAGAAGATGGACTGCTGTGAGGGTAATCAAAAGTGTGTGACTTGGGGTAAAAGTCAGAAGGATGCATAATTAAACAGAGTATGTTTGGTAAATGATTTGATGGCATCTGTCATTTTCTTAATTGTCCTTAGACACTAATGAGTGAAACTGTTGTTGGATTTTAATTTTTGAAGCCAAAATTAAGATAGAATTAGTTGTTTCTGAATGGATCTTGCATTAGAAATTGGGAAAGCCAATTTTAAATTAGACAAAAAGAGTCAAGTGATTTAAAAGCATAAAATAGCACAAACAAGGAGGGAATGAATAGCATTCGGAACAATTATTTTCTCAAAAAGAAAGAAAGAAAAAAAAAAGGAGCAAATCAAAGGGCCAAGGAAAAGATCATTTAATTATATTTTGCACCAACCAGTTTATCCTTCTTTCTGATTTCCCTTTAACAAAGGCATGTATTCGAATAGCAAGGAAAACATATAACATGACCCAGAAATATATGCATATGTTTATTATATGTGTCTGATGCTTTAGAGTCCTAGCTCTTTTGAATACTGAGAAGCTTTTAAATTGTTTCTAAATCAGTAATTACCAAGGCAAAATATATGTTCTCAATGAAATAAGTCCTACTATATCTGGGCATCTTATTTGCAACATCAAAATTTCCTAAGTTTAAAGCTATACATTTCCCACTGAATGGTTCATGAAGAGAAGCCGGGCAGTTTTCGCTCAGCAGTTTCTGTTACGAGCTACTATATGTATTGTAATCAAGTTCATGCTTGTCATATCATCAGAACTCTCAGGTCATCATATAATAATACAGAGACTAAACAGAGGGCAGTAATACAAGTTTGGTTGCCTATAAAGCTTTAAAATAGTTATTTTGAAAAGATTCTATTTGTATTATGAAATTTGCATGGCCCCATATGTTCTCATCAATACACTTCTAATTTTTCTCACTCTTCCCTGCACCTCTGTTGGGTTGTGTTGGGAGAGTGCCAACATCTGGCTGCCAAACAAACAGTGCTTTCCATGAATGTTCCTCACAACCAGGGAATAGAAAGGAGAAGCAGAAACATTCTATTTCTTTCAGTCCTAGGTCTGGATTTGATTAGGCAACCGCCTAATTTTTACTAGATGTACTTTAGCTTAGGGATGGCTTTAGAATAAGAATTGACGAGTGCTGATTTTCATTAATTCTCTGGATACTTAAGAGCATTGCAAATTTTAAATGAATAAAATCCATAAAAAAGTATGAATACTTCTGTTTTTAGAATACACACACATATTTAGAGAGAGTAAGACAATGGATAAAATAGGCTCTGGCAGTAGAGTGCTTGCATTAGCTATAAATAAGTACAGTTAAAATACACTGAATATCTGCATTGAGCCAACATTTATAAGGTTTGTTACCCCTTATAGATCCATTAGACACTTGCAGAATAGGTCATTCACTGTGCTAAAGATTTCACTTATGCCACTGCACATTGATTACTGAAGCCGTACTACTTATCCAGTATAATTATTATTTTATATGCTATTTAAAGATGGGTTTTGCCGACTTAGAGAAGTGATGGTAAATAGGTTCAACCTCCCCTTTGAAACATCACTCTGTAATCCTATCTCTAGACAGAGGAAAAGAACTGGAGAAGTAACAAGGGACTCAAATATTGAGGTCATTAGCTGCATATGATACATTCGTGTTGTTTTCCTCATTCTTTCAAACTCCACGTAAGTGCTGCACTAAAAAGTAAGAAACAAAACAGATCCTATCAGTGGAAATACATAGATCAAGAGGCAGCAAAAACAGCACTGGCCTTAGTGTCAGGAAATGGGGAAATAAATCAGTTCTGAGAACCACCTATCCCGGTTCCCAGGACTTCTCCATCCTTTCGTCTTTTTGCCATGGAGTACCCTTGGTTTCCTAGTTTATAAAAGGAAGTTAATATTTGCCTCCTCTTTTATGAGTCACAGAAACACACACCAATATAGATAGATAGAATGAACAATCAGAATCATGTCTACCCCCCTTTGGCTTTGTCCATGGGTCCTTTGAGGGTGAGAGGTGAGGGTGGGTGGGGCGGAGGAGAGTGGTGGGGGAAAATGGAGACAACTGTACGTGAACAACAATTACAAAAAAAGAGAACCATGTCTAAAAGTGCCAAAACAATAAGCTGCAATTTATTGAGTGCTTACTATATGACAGGCATTTAACCCACATAATCTCATTTAATCTTCACCCAACCCAATGAGGTTGGTACAACTATTATCTTCATTTCAGAGAAGGGGAAAGTGAGTCTTAAAAAGATCAAGTAACTCATCCAAGGTTCAGACCCAAAATCTGAAGCCAAGGTATCTGGCTCCAAAGTCTGTGAATGTCATTACTACTTGCATCTGTGAGCTAAGGATAAGCATGTCACACAGAAGTGAAGTTTCATTATTATTGCAATTGACCCTAGAAAAATTATTCCAATTTGCCAGTGGACAAATAGAAACATGAGAAAATACTTCCCAAGCCAATACTTAAAACATTTTCAGAAATCATGATTTTTTCCCCTTGTAAGTTGGTAGAAACCAGGGTTAAATTTAATTAAGTAAATGTAAGATGTGTTTAAAATTTTAATTTATTTAAATATGAATAAATTTAAAATTTAAATAAACTTAAATAAAAATGTGAATGGCTCAGAATTGTTTATGGTAAGATACTGTTCTATAGTATTTGTAGATCACATCAAAGTTTTCTATATTCTCCCTTGAGGTGGGGGAAAAAAGTAAGAAATGAAAACGATCAGGAAAGTTTGCTAAGGTATGAGAGTGGGGAAATAAAACCACTTCTCTAGCAAATGATGGAGATGATCACTAGCTTCTGAAGCTTGAACAAGAAATGAAATTATTTAGTGGAATATTCAAAGGCTGGCATTGGGGGGTGCAAAGATGAAGAGAAACAGGTTATTAAAGCCCTGTGTGCGTTAGGAGAGCAGAAGGACACTGCTTTAAGTCAGACGATATTCTGAATCATCTTGGTTTTGGAAGCGTTTAAGTTGTGGAGTGACTGATGGGGGTGGGGCGGAAAGGTTTGTCCCAGCTAAGGCAGGAGGGAAGCTACACACCCCTGCTGGGAGCGCCAAGGAGAGGCTCTGGGCCAGGAAGCCAGTTACCGGAAATTGAACTCCAGCGATGTCGTGGAGATGTCAGAGAGGTGGTCCCCTTCTAGCCCACTCGCAGCCATGCCAGAGTTTAGCCCGGCTGATCGAGTCCGCCGTTTCTTCTTTTCCTGCTCCTTGCGTTTTCCAGGCTTGCCTTTCTTTTTCTTGCCAGGTGTCTTCAGTGGCTGCTCTTTGTATGTTTCCACCTTGTTGGTTTCTTGAGTTAGGTATCGGCCCTCATCATCAGATCCAAATCGCACGGGGTGGTTCTTTGTGTTGGGAGCAGGCTTGGAGTTCGGGGAAACCTCCGAGGTAGTTCTGATTTCAGCTGTGTGGATTTCTGCGATCAGGTTGTGGAGGAAGAATCGTCGCCGTAAGTCTTGGATGGACTTCCCCTTGTCATGGAGGAGCTGATGTTCAGACACGGCTCTTTTGCTTTAATGAAAAAACAGCAGGAGAGAAAGAAAGCAATGAAATTTTAGTTGTTGGTAGAAACCACAGAGATATGAGGAAAGCCCTTCAGTTTTCTAGCTGCTCCAGTACAGGGCACAGGCTGGAAGAGGAACAAGTTCTGGGGGCAGGGAGGGGCCAGGGTGGAAGGCCTGCTAGCATCTAGGGCTCAGCACCCACGCCGCTGCTCACTAGGTCTGTGACCTTGCTCAGAACAGAACATTCTCGGGCCTCTGGAGTCCCATCTATGTAAAAGGAGGGGGTCAAATTCAGTGATTTCTATGCTCCCTTCTCAATTTAAACATAATTCAGTTATTTTGAGAAATGGATAGAAACCACTGAACTGCTTTTCACGTGTTTCGGAGTTCTGTTGGGGAAATTAATTCAGAAGTCCTAGCCTGGAAAATAAAAAGGAGGCTGATTTTACCTGAGTACTTGCCCCAGGGGTGGGTGGGGGGGTGGGGTGTGTGTGTGTGTGTGTGTGTGTGTGTGTGTACGTGCGCACGCGCAGAGGCACACACACATACACACATACACACACTGCTCCTGCACTAAGAAAATAATAATACTGAATCTCCAGGAACAGAGAGCTGTAGGGGTAAAAGCAAACAAAGACTGAAGGATAGAGTGAGCAGTGAAGCCTGTCTCGGAAACCACCTAACAGACTGGATTTTAACATGTCAGACTGTAGGCTACTAAGGACCTATATTTGAAGGCCAACTGTCAGAGAAAGCATGTATAATTTTCTGTAAAGTGGTGGGTGGTCTCTTTAAAACGGGCTTCTTTGTGTGTTTAAATTAAGTGAGATCATTTTATTTCTTCTGTGTTTTTTTTAATTTAGAGTTTTAGAGGGTATTATCCTTAGTACTTCGTTAAGAAATCTTTCTTTTTCTATTTGTTCTTTGTCTTAAAAATATCTCTTTGAACAAATAGGATGTGATTTTTCAATTTAAACAACAGTCTCATAAAAAATGTAGTGAAAAAGAGTAAACTAATTTGCTCTCAATCCTTTCAGGTGACACCCTGGCTCTTGTGTAAATGTTCATGCATGAATTCTTTTATTAGTCTGTGTATACATTGTTAAACACATTTAAGGATTACATACATTAATCAGTCATATTATGCCAACTTCAATTCTGCCTTATTTCTACCATTGAAATAAACCTCCGAAGTGATTCATAGTCCAAAGTATCTGAGGGTATTTCACAGGGCTACATACCTTCTATTCTTATTCTCCTGATACACAGTGGTATCAGGACCCCTACAGCTTTCACTAGTACAACTTCTTTAACTCCTCAAAGAAATATGACAATAACAAGTAGCACTGTCCTCATTTTTATAGACTGGGAAAGTGAGGTTCGGAGAGGTTAAATGCTCCACCCTTGCTCATACAACAAAACCAGGCAGAGCCAGGGTTCCACCAGTGAGTTCTTTTGATTCAGAACCAAGATTGCTTTTCACCTTCCTCAACCCTTTCTCCTGTTGAAGCTTCAGTGTATGTTGAGAAAACAAGAAAGAAAGGGCACAAAGTAAAACACCTGTGGTGGGAATCATGCATGGGCAAGTGGACAGCAATCTATTATTTTCCGTGAGGACCAAGTTTATGGCCCCAAGAAGTCCATTTTCATCACCAAAATAAAGAACTAGGATACCCAGAGTTTGGATTTTCATTGAGGGAATGAGAGATTGTCTAGTTACACTGTAAATCAAAGAAGGATAAAACATGAAAGAACACTCATTATTTCTCTGGACCTTTTAGCTAGAAGGCCAGCTTCCTTTTAGTAATTTAGTGTGTGAACTGACTTTAAGCCATGTAGCTGTTAAAAAAGACATGACTTAATGGAAAGGAATTTAACAGGAGCCTGGTTTAAATGAGGCATGAAGGAGTCTCTCTTCCTTTTTGAAGGTGCCACATGTGACTAGATTAAAATTCACTTTTTCTCTGGCAATAGTTAGTACTCTGGAAACTTTTAATAATCTACAAATTTGAGGCTTTGGTATGATATACTTATATCCTCTAATAACATTTTTAAAGAATAAGACTAATATAACTGCATATTTCATAAGCATTGCAGATTAATAAATATCTTTTAGCAAAATGTCACATTAAAAAGTTCTTAAGCAATGATCATTTATAGTATTTGGAAATTTTATTTCTTTCTCAATTCCTGGAGGATATCTACTCCATCTGTATTGCTCTCCAAATGTATAATACAACTCATTCTAGCTTACCCTGAGGCCAAAACTTTTAATGCTTGGTGTGTTCTAATCAAGCCACATTGCTCATGCCCCCTCTGACTGGCATATGTGCCTGTCATCTTGGCCAGCATGTCAACTGTGAGTCACAGTGCCTTCCTAAGTCAAGCACTGCACTTTCCCAGGATGGTTCTCATGGGAAAAGGAGTGATCACTCTGTTCTTATATTTTATAAAAAGCCTACAATATGGCACGACTTTGTCCAGTTTAAAATAGTACATCCCTTGTGAGGTACAAAACTTTCTGCCTTTTAGGATTAATTGTTAGTATATTAGAAAACACAGACTTTCTTAAATGCTAAATCTGAAATGCTGTTACATAATTTACTTCCTGATTCAAAGACTTCTGTATTTAAACTATTGTGGGGAATGAATTTCTAATTCGGCAACTGCATTAGAAGATAGGAAATATGATAATATCTTTATTGTTAACAAGGAATAAGGTCCATAGAGTGTTCTGTTTATTTTCAAAATAAGACATAAACTGACACAAGGGTAAAAGACTCGTATGTACAAAGCAGACATATACAATAAGTAATAAATTCAAACTAAGGAGGATTTCAATTTAGAAAACTCTGAAATATTTAAGTTGTAAATATGGCCTCAATAATAGCCTGCTACTATGTGTCTGTAAACATTACATAGCACAGCGGTTCACCCTGAACTTATCACATACCTAAGCTCCAACATGGAAACACAAATATGTTATGTTCATGGTCTCCAATGATTATTGTTAAAACATTTGCAAAAATGTGGGGGAAAGGCTTAACATAGATAATGCTAAATTCAATCAAAATATAACCGTTCTGTTTTAAAGAAAAAACACCCTCACGGGAGTTTTGAGGGAAAATTAAATTTCTAAGGAACTCTCAAGGAACACGGAGTAAACAGAGTGACGGACATTCCTCTTCCAGCCCTGAAACAAGCAGCACGCTTGTGCTGATGCTAAGGCCCCGACAAGAGTCTGGGCTTGAGAAGAAAAGTTCTGTGGTCCATGGAAGAGTCAGGGTTAGGGTGTTAGAGTTAAAATGACTCACCAGAAGTCCCTTCCAACCCAAATGACTCAGTCGAAAGTTATGCTTTTCATTAAGTGGAATAGACCCAGTCTGGCTCCCCAGCAAATCAGCCAATGGTGTTTTGGGTTTCTGAAGCTGCTGGAGTTCCCTCTCTAACTTTAACACAAAGGTTGCTACCTGCCATCACCCACAGGCCTCGCTTTCCAACCTCCAACTTACTCTCTAGCTTCATTAATTCAAGTCTTTTGGATTCACAAGTCCAAAAGTTTCATAAATCTCTACTGTCTCTTTTTCATGGCTTGACATTATTATTGTTGGGGTAGTTTCCTCTCCTTTAAAAGTTAGCCCCTGGTCAGGAAAACATCTAAAGCAGTTTCCTTAATAATTAGTGTGAGAAGTAACTGGGGAGTAACATGGTTTGACTTTATGTTAAAATTTCTTTCAAGAAACTAGGTTGATTTAGCATAATCATGGACTAATGTTTAGTTTTACTGCTACTTGGCAGCAATGTAAAAAAATGACATTTTTAAAACTCCATTTGGCTATAATAATTTGATGAAACATACTGATGATTTCAACCATGGCTGTAATGATCTATTAGCCATTAACTATAATAATGTTTTGTGGTAGTTTTATAACCATCTGCTGAGTGTGAGTGTTTGATTACAATATTATATTTCACCCACAAACAATACTCTAACAGAGTCTTTGGCTGCTAAATGGTTTTTTTTTGATGTGTATTTTGCAAGGTGCAACAAAGAAAGAGTTAAAAATAACCTTTAGGACAATTAGCACTGTTTTAATACCATAGCTGTGGATTTAATCATGGTCCATTTACTGTTTCTCAAAAGAGAAAACAGGTATTTCTTAAGCAACTTTAAAGAAAAAAAATTGGCTGGGTTCCAAGACAGTATTTCTTGGCCAAATAAATACAGTATTTAAGCATGCTTTTAAAAATTCACTCTTCAAAAAAAAAAAAAACCACCTCACTCTTCATCTATATTTATGTACAGATTTTAAATAATAGAATATAATACACATCTCAAACTGAGCAAAAAGTATGAAGACCATTTTTAGAAATACATCAACAAAACGTTGATTTGAAGAATACAATGCAGCTTTATTTTCAGTACAATGTTCTACACAATTTGCCTTGGGAAATTCATAATAGATTTTCATTTTGGTGCCAAGGTTCAGACATGTCTAAAGTAATTTCATTTAAGGATTTTCTACTCTAATAATAATAGACCAAGGGCACATAAAATTGTTGCCTTTTTGTGCACCTTTGGGAATTTACAAGGAAGCACCACGAACTTGACTATAAATATTAGATATTGCTATTTTTATTGTTAGCATGAAAGTTCTCCTTAATTCCTTCTCCAGAGGCAAACTCTTCTCAGTTCTCAAACTTTATGGTTTTCTCATCCTGAACACTGAGTCTGCAGCTTAAAGATATGCAAAGACAGTGTTACACACCTTAATGAACAGCTAGGTCCAATAGATTATGAAGATAGTATTACTCTACCACTTTTCCATCTTTTCAGTCATACAACAGTGGTTATTTATCTGGTGTACTGCAATGTACGATTATTTTAAAGTCAACATTATCCTTAAAAGAATCACCAAATGAGAATGCCAAAATACAAGTTTTCAGTCTACAGTGCATGTGGCTACAGACTAAAGAAAAAAGTAACCCCCCTTCCCCCCGCGAAAAAAAGGTCTCCACACCTAATACTCATTTTGGAATCGAGACCTCTAGCATTCCCGAACTGTATCAATACTAAGGTTGGAATTGTGCCAATTGCAAAGTTGTCTCTACTTTCTTATATAATATGCCTTCATTATGTAATGTGGTCCATTTTATGTGCTTAGAGTTATGTCATTCATAATAAAATTAGATGTAAGGTTCTGCTTTTCACACACCATTGCCACCCACATCAGTATGTATAGAAGCGCACGTGGATGTACTCTCCTGTGTCCCTCCGTTTTCTCCTCGAGTTATCTAAATCTCTTGGATTCGTCAGGGTTTCAAAACCTTCCCAGGTCCTGAAAGTAACCCTTTTCTTTCACTAGAAAGAAAAGGCAGAGGATCTTTGCCCAGGGGAGATTCTGTAAAAAACGCCCCCTCTTATGGAAACTCACATAAAATTTGTCTCCTGCCTTAACCGGAGGTTCAAGCGGTGCTCCCGCTGGGGTTGAGAACCGGGCTCAGCACCCCCACGGCAGGTAGCCGGGTCTCCGTGCTCGCTAACTCGGCCAGGAGCATCAGTGACCGCTGCGAGCCGTCGGCAGCGCCCCAGCCTGGCGGCCTCTCCCACTGTCCGCCCCAGCCCGCTCCCGACGCCCTGGGGAGGACGGGACACTTACAGCCGGCGGCCCAGCTCCTCCACCGAGCGCCCGCAGGAGGGCACCGAATAGCTCAGCAAAAACACTGCGACGCTCCACTGCTGTACCAGCCTCCACAGCATCGTTTCCTCTCGCTCTCAGGACCTGCGACAGAGCGGAAGGGAACCCGAAGTGTCAGTCCGGAATCTCCATCTCCCCGAACTTCCCGCTCCCCCTTTTAGCCTGATTTCAAATAGCCTCTTCAACATCAAGGGCATCTCCCAAGTTGCAAAGAAAAAAAAAAAAAAAAAAAAAAAAAAAGAACTTTCTCTGAATCCTCTCAGCACTTACTTATTTAGGAACCAGCTACTCCAACTGTGCTTTTGCCAAACCACACAGGCAAAAAGGGACCAAAAAAGGGGGGGAAAAAGAAATCAGAGGCGCTTCCTCTAAAATAATAACCAAAATGAAACAGTTCTATATTTGCATCAATGATGAGCAGCGAACGTGTTTACACGTCTCCCATAGCAATGTCTAATTAATCTGGCCGGCAGTTTTTCTGGGTTCCTGGAGCAGGGCTAATCCCCTCCTAAAAAGAGAAGAAAGTCTCCTCCGAAGTCAGCTTCTTTGCGAACTAGGCCGTCTTGTTCCAGAGCCACTTGTAGGGAGCCCCACATATATACACATAGCTGTCTGTCTACCTCCTCTGGTGGGCTGGTTGCTTCCGGAAAGTTGATTCCACACACTCTGAGAACAAGTTTCAAGTGCGTGTGTCGTCGATCAGGAGGGCCAGGTGGCAACGAGGGCGGGCTAATAGCGGCGCGGAGGGGCGGCGGCCCCGCTTCACGGGCGGGGAGGCATGCTGGCCGAGAGACGCAGGTTAGAGGCGAGTTGAAAGCCGAGCAGAGGAATGTTCACACGCTCCCAGGCAAACCTGCGGGAGAAGTGAGCGAGTCGCAAAGAGGTGGCGCCCTAGGAACGCGCGCAGGGCGAGCGAGGGCGCGGGCGCCCAGGGGGCGGGGGCGGCGACGGGCAGCCAGAGCGGGCCCCGCCGGTCCGAGAGAGCGGAGGGGAGCTCCGAGCTGGGAATACACAGCAAGCAAAGGAGCTCCCCGCCTCCCGCCCTACCGCCCCCGATACTGTCCCGAGCTCCGCCGAGCCCCACCCCGGAGCGCCAGCCCTACCGCGCCATCCCGGAGTCGGGAGCGTGGGCGGATTCTCTCACCCCCGCTGGGTCCCGCCGGCTCCGGACTGCCCGGCGGATCTACCATCTGAAGTCCCCGAGGGCGTGCGGACGGCCCCGGGCAGCCAATGACCCCGGCGCGCCACAGAGCCGGGGCCGGCTGGACGCGCGGCTGCCGGGGCCGCCGGGGACGAACTGACAGGGAGGCCAAGAAGCTGGGGCCGGAGGGCGCGGGCACCCGGAATCCCCGGCGGGGAGGTCGCGGGCCGTGGGCCCGTGGCTTTAAAGGGCCCTAAGCTCGCTTGGGAGTTCGGGGAGAGAGATGGGAACCTTACTTTCTGGCCCTTTCTGGGGCAAATTGAGTGGGGAGAATCGGCTAGGGACGGGGAGATTCTTCGCTTAGAAGAGTTAAAACGGTTTCAGACTTTAGGTCGAGATTACATTTTTTACTATCTCAGAACAGCTGAGGACCTCTGGAACCCGTCCAAGAAAACCCGCGCACATGATGGAGACCCCCTTTTGAATGGCAGAGAGGAACGGACAGTTCTGGGGAGCGCTCACGGTCCTTTCGCCCACCAACAGGCATCTAGCCCACGCTTTCCTGGATAACCTGCTCTGTGGTCTCCTCACCTCCCAGTCCCCGGGTTACATATTCTAGGGTGACTATTCGTGTCATTTCAGCCCGCACATGCAGCGAAACTATCGTTGTGTGTTGCTCTGTCTCGGAAACGCGAAGGGAAAGCAGAGGGTTCTTCTCAAAGCTCTTGGGCGGGGAAGGAAGAATGCTGTGAATTACTGGGCAGTATCATCTAGGAAGAATTGCAGCGGATGTGAACGCCCTCCCAATGGGTTCCTCTATCTCTTTGAAATGAACGCGGCTGGTTGGGAACCATTCAAGGGATGTTTGTTTTTTAGATAGGCAATCCTACTGGTAGATTTCAGTACTCTCTAGAAGGCTAGTGTGATTGAGAGATTTCAGGTCATTAGGGGAGCCTGACCTTAGTCAAGTCTGGCTTCCTGGCTGATGCTACACAGATTTACCGAGGGTGGGTGAAATAGCGCCCTCTCACCGACCCTCCCTCGTCTCGGCTTCCTTTCCGCCTTCGTAACTGCGGCTAGCTAGCCAGCCAGCACTTAACCTTGGCTGCTTAGCTGGGGTGGGGGCGTCACCCTCTTCTCAGAACCTGCTCTCTCACTTGATTACTTTAAACTTCATACTTTAAACAACTTGGCTTCCTCCCACTAAAACAAAAAAATCTCTGGGAATTTCCACAATTTCCCTTGAAAGTTCTAAATGTTAGACCTATTTGCATGGCATGAAAAGACAAAGTAACAGCACTAAAAAAATGTCAACCTTTGAACCTCCAACACTTTCTGATTTATATTAAATTCTTTCCAAAAAGACGCAGGCGCCTTAATGTAATCGTTAGATCTGGAGGGGGAAATCTGTTAAAAAAAAAATCACAAATGAGCCATTTAATACTTGCACATCGTTTAACATTAAAGTGATAATATTTACTTCCACAATTAAAAAAACAACAACAAACAAACCAAAGGTTCTTAGCCAATTTTCAAACTAGCCAGGCTTTACAAAGTCAGCTATCCCCCAATAAAGGTTAAAACCAAGATTGAAAATATTAAATCAATTATATTATAAGTAAGTTCATTATTACTCTCAGAACATTATAAAGACATCAATAGTCTGCTTTGATTTGCGCTTCTTTTTCTACTAATTAAATAAAATTGACCTCCTCCTCTCCTTTCTTTTCCTACCACTCACTTTTCTGGTGTAAATGGCAAAACATTTATCAAATATTTTTTAGAAGTTCTTCTCCCCTACAAAAGGAGAAAACATAGACACAGGAAAAATAAATAGTCTTTATATACTCAGAATATTAAAGTTTCCTCATAATTTATTACTTCACCTTTTTCTTGATTTACAGTCTTCTCTGTTCCTCTGGCCAAAGGAGGAAGGTCTTCTCAGCAATCTCTTCCAGAAGTAATTTTTTTTGTTCTTTAAAAAGTAAAATTAAATCTTAAATGAATTAAAAACTTCCTGTAAGAAGATTTTTCTGTTCCCACCGAACACAATTATCAGAAAGCTAGAAAGCAGTTACTTCTTCTAAGCTGCCCTATTAATTACTTTTAGCAGAAACTCTCCTCAATATATACCCAGGACTCTGACTTTTTGCCTTTCTGAAAAGTGTATTTCTGACATCATAATCTAGTTCTCAATATAATTGAATAATCTCTATGATAATGCTGAGGACATGTGAATGCAAATGAGGTGACTTCACATTAGAAGCCCCCCCTCTTTTTTTTTTTTTTTTTTGCTTAGGAATAGAACAAGTGCCTGTAGAAGTTGAATGTTTGCTTAGGCCTTACTATCAAAAAAATGCACTTTAGCAAATGGGAGGATTTGAAGGCCTGTCTTTCATCTGAAACGTTCCATGTGAAGACAGTTTAGCATCATCAATCTACACTCACATCAAAGAGTAGCCAAATTTTAAAAGAATTTTCTAAAATTTTAAGTTACTTTAACACTTAAATTCATGTTTAAATAACTGGTTGGTGTATATGTCTCCTTGCAATTTAGGGAAAAAAGCATTTATGTTTACCTTTTTTGTCTTTCTCCCTTTTTTCCTCCTGAGCCCAAACAACAAGGAAACAAACATGCAAACCAGCAATGTACTTATAGCTCTTTAAACAGAGCACCTGGGCTCAGAAATTCCCTTATCTTATTACCAATAAGCATCCATATTTAACATTTGCCAATCTGTAGCTCCAAGCTATGTCTCTTAAATCCTATGAAACCAAACAATTAAACTCATTCCTTCTCTTACTCTGAACTTTTTCTTTGTTTATATAGAGAAGGTTGCAAAATTAGCTCAAGTAAATGTATCTTTTGACTCCATTACAGTGAGTTCCAAATCACTTACTTGCCTGGACTAAGATGTGAGAGGAGGCTGTTGCCAGGAGACCCCAAGGTAGCAAAAAGGGGGATGTAATAACTTTCAATCCCAAGCAGGGATATGAAGAGTGTGTTTTATGATTAAATCTCTGTAGTTAGATGAGGATAAGAATGAAACAGGGGTTCCCTTCTCCAGGACCAGGACTGGCTGCTGACATCTGGAGGAACTGCTTTAGGGAGAAGCGCCTAGGCACACATCAGTCTCATTTAGAAGTGGGTCTCACCCCAGCCTCACCCTTCCCTACTTCTTGGGCAATGCTCAGCTTTCCCCAAACAGGACCAGAAAGCCCAGCAATGAGGCCGTTTTCCCTGAGGGGCCTAAGCCAATGTGAAATGAGAATGTCTTTAGGAAATGGGATTCGTTAGGGACTAGTCCTCCAATGTCCAGCACTTGTGCAACTCCCAAATCCATGAGCACCAAAATGTATTTGAGGAGTATTGTTGGCCAGGAATGGAGTGTGCACGTGTGTGTGTGTGTGTGTGTGTGTGTGCGCGCGCGCGCGCGCGTGTGTAAGAAAGAGAGAAAATGGATATGTAGCACATGAGTCCTGATTTCCTGGACTGATGCCCATCCAATGCCCGTGGCTGGGCCGAGTTCTTGGCTTCCTGAAGTAGGCAGCTCTGGACTTGTGCGAGACCACAGGGTGAGTTTCAAGTCCCACCTGACTCAGACCACAATTCCTCAACCTGAAACTGCTCTCTGGCAGTGCCACATGGTCTTCCTGGCTGACGCCCAGCTTCCCTGAGAGGGAAATCGTCCTTTCTTAAAATGCAAGCCCTGGCTGTCCGCAAGCCACTGCTCCGGGAGATGCTGGGACCTGGGAAACGGTTACCTCCGTAACACCATTCTCTGCCCGTGCAGAACCAGTCAGTTCACAGTCTGTCCTTAAGGCAGCACCCGCACTGGGATGCCCATCCCCGCAGGCGCAAAGACACACACGTAGACGGGGCTTTGTGTGTATTTCTCTTTGAGCTCGTGATTATGATGTTTGCGGGCCCTGCCTGCCCTGACCCCCTTCCTGGGATTTGTGTCAGAAATAAGGCCCCGATAAAGCAAACGTGAAAGCTGCCTGCTGGCTCCTAGGCATCGCCTGGGCTCGTTGCGTGGCTGCCACAGGAAGGGGAGGCATGTGTCGGTATCTTAGGGCAGGGATTCAGGGTCTTGGAAGCGGTTTGAGGGGAACAGAACGGCCTTTATAAGCCCCCCACCTCCCACTACACAGTTACGTCGTCCATTGATGGTAGGATCCCCTAGGAGGACGCGGGTTCCCGGGAATCTTAGGCTTGATGGGAAGTTCAGAGGCCTGGGAGCCCCTTGGCGCATCTAGCTACGTCCTCCGTTCTTCTGTGCCTTCTGTCCCTACGAATCTGATCCCCCGATTGCCCCGCAGAATATGCTCTGTCGCGAGCGGTACACTCGAGGCCTTCGCGCTGCGTCGGGTTCCGCCCGGCTGAGCGCGCGGTTTCACACCCGGGGAGTCAGTGTTTCTGGCCACGCCCGCCCCGCTCCTCCCCGGAGGGATCGCGCTTCTGGCAGCGGACTGGAAGGAAGCTTCGGGACCAGTGTGACCCGCGGACAGGGCCGGAGGGCTCGAGGGCGGCTTTCCCTTCCCTTCTCCCTCCCGGTCAACCTGTGACTCAAATGTGACACT